ATCCAGATCTCAACTCACTCATTGTGTTCTATGGAAGAGCCAACCCTCCCTACTTATGTAGAAAACTCCTATCTCAAGCCCTCCTTGCATCTTATATCTCCTTCATAGCACTAGTATTTGCTATTTTACACTTACTGTGTGATTCTTTGATTAAACTGTATGAGCTAAGGAGTCTTGTCTGTTTCTTTTACTGTTATGTCCCTAGAATCTATCATAGTTCCTGGCATATAATTACTTCTCAAAACATTTATTGAATGATTTGATAGGTTAATTAGAAATTATCAGGTAGAAAATTTATAGAATGTACTGTTTTGCCCTTTGTAAAAATATATGACTACATTTGCTCTTGGTCAGTCTTTGTTCTCATCATCTTTTCCCTGTGACTTTCCTAAGATTACTAAGTGTCAGGAGTCTCATATTTTTCCCTGCCAATTGTCTTGAATTCACTTAAAGCCTGTAGATATTCTTCTACAGTCTTGACTCTAGTTCCTTCCATCTTTTATCATCTGAAGATTATTATTCTTGGAGTAGAGGACAGTAATTTAGATCACATTTTCTAAAAAATCAATCTAGCGAAATTTAGGTAGTCCATTTTAAATTCAGTTATTTAGAATTTGGAATTCAGACCATATTACCCCATGTTAAAGTTGATCCTTACATTTTCATGCAGTTCCCTTTAGGACCTTTATAACCAATAAATTATCTTAAGTAGAGCAATGTTAGTATGAAATATGAGTTTCTCTTGTCCTATTTTAGCTTTTTTTTTCAATCTGAACTCCAAGGCCCTTGGATTCCTCTTTTTTTTTCTTGGTATCAGGGATCGAACTCAGGACCTTGTGCTTGTGAGGCAGGCAGGGGCACCACTGAGCTAAATCCCCGGCCCTCAAGGCCCTTGGATTCTTAGGAAGGGCTGGGAGTTCAGTAGAAGTGGCATTGCTGAGAGGAGTATCAAATTGCTACTGGGTGTTTACCTTGTAGAAGCATTCTAAAGGTAAGGCAAGATAAATGTGTGGTAGTTTTCAAGCTTTTGTGCTAGTAAATTATGTGTAATTCGTGGTAGTCAAGTATGTTTGATGAATCATGGAGGATGGATTGATAAGTTACTGTCCACTATTGGGAGAATAAAGCAAACTGATAATCCTATTAATTATGAGTCAGATGGCTCCATTTAGGAAGAAAACCAGGTAGGAATGCATTATCTCTTTGCTCATAGTCAATGCGCAGAGGTGTTTAGGAGAGGGTAATTAAGTGCATTATTTTTCACAAGGCTGTGCTTTGTGTGGAAACAGTTTCCTTTCATACATGGATCCTGAGTTTTAAGATGCTTTCAACCATTTGAACTATCTTATTATAATAGAAATTTAGTCATGTACCAAATTTATTCCTGTGCAATTTTCAGTGACAAACTGGTTCTCTCATTTGTGTGTATAAAAACAATGCCAAGAACAAAAAACTCATGATTCAGTTGATTTTGTGCTCTTTTTGGGAAGAAGAAAAGACTTGTTGAGATGAAGATTATAATTTCAGCAACAAAGGAAACTCTCAAGGCCTAGGCAGCTCTTAAATTCAATACTAATAATTTATGAAATAAATTATACGCTTTACCTTTCTGTCAGTTCTTGTAGGTACCTGCCTACTTGCCAATGCAGAGACAAGACTGCTTAATTCTAGGTATACTTCTTAGTGTGAGACAAATCCACTTCAAAATGCATGTTGTTATTTGTTTACAAAGTTAATGGTTAGTAATGCCAAATCTTCAGTTTGGAAGGTACCTTAGAGGACATCTAGTTCGGTACAAGACTCCTTTCTATCAGGAACAGACTGTTTACAGACACCCCTTCCCACCATCTGATGGTCTCCTCCCTGTCTGTTCTGCTTCAGATATGCAGCTTCCTCTGTTCCTTCAATTTATCAAGCTTTTGAAGACTCTTTGTACTGCCTTGAATGCTCTTCTCATAGCCCTGTGCTCCTGGCTTGCTTCTATACATGAAAAAGGATTCACGTAGCTAAAGGGCCCTCCCCTCCCAACTGCCACAACTCTTTTTGCAAGACTTGCTTTTCTTTTCTTTATACTTGCCACTGCCTGAAATCATGTTATTGCTTACTTCCCCTTGGTCAACTCTGTGAGAGCAAGTGCTAGGCCTGCAGTGTTCACTGTACCCTGAAGCCTTTACAGTAGTGGCTGGCATCCCGATAAATAGGACAGATATGAACATGAATGAATAACCATTGGTGGCTGATTATTGTCTGGTCCGCTACTCAGCTGACATCTGTCTCCTTTTCTTTTCTACCACTAATCTTAGTTCTGCCCACTGCCTGCTTTACTCCTTTTGCAAAGAGTCTTCAGGCATTTGGAAGTGAGTTTTTCACCGAGGCCAAACCCAGTTTCCTCACTAGCTCCTTATCTGGCATAGTTTTAGGAGAGTGGTCATCATCCATGTTATCTGTCACTTACAGCTTTTGGTTTTGTTGCTGTGATATTCAGCATTAGACGTAGTATGTTATTTGGCATTTCAGCCTCAGAGAAAGATAGTACAGTTAAACTTTTTTGTTTAATGTTTGTTTAATGTCCTTTATCTTTGATAAAAATTATCTTTTATCTCTATATAAATGACCAGGAAACTGTTTATATACGATGTCATCAGAATTATTCTTTTTAAAAACTTGTTTGATTGCAGAATATAATTTAGAAATACTGTACATAACACATAAGTATATACTCTAATAAATTATTATAAGTAAATGTTTATTTAACCAGCAATTAAAAAATAGAAATAGTGTCCTAGAAAGCCATTCTGTGTATCTCTTCTCAATCTTAACTGCCTCCTAAAGGTAATTTATATCCTGATTTTTGTAATAAACATTTCCTTGATCACTGGTTTTTTTTTTTTGGTACCAGGGATCGAACTGAGGTCCTTGTGCTTGTGCAGCAGGTGACGAAACCACTGAGCTAAATCCCCGGCCCTTGATCACTGTTTTATTGATTTATTGCTTGTATATGCTACTTAATATGTTTGTAGCTCAGTTTTGTCTATCTTAAAACTGTATAAAAGTAAAACTTAAAGTGCTGTTATATTAGTTTTCTGTTGTATAACAGATTTCCCCAAGCTTAGCCACTTATAAAGACAGCCATATATTGGCTCACAGTTTGTGGGTTAGAAGTATAGCTTGGCACGGCTGGGTTCTCTTCTCCATATCGTGAGGCCAAGATCACCCTGTCAGGTGGCCTGACTTTGTTTCTCTGTGTGTCTGTATGTCTCTCCGTCTGTCGTTTGGTGTCTCTCTCTCTCTCTCTCTACCTGTCTCTGTCTTTGTCTCTTTGTCTCGGTCTCTCTCTGTAGTGGGGATTGAACCAGGACCTTGTGCATGCCAGGCAAATGTTCTACACTGAACCACACTCCCAACCAGTTTTAAACTTGAAATAGTCTCTCTAAGTTGCCCAGGCTGGCCTCAAACTAGTACTCTCCTTCCTTGGTCTCCTTAGTAGCAGATAGTACAGGTGTATGCCACCATTTCATCTTCATGAGTTCCAACACTGATTTTGGAGATCCAGCTATGGTTTTTTGATCTCTTTATTACCTATTTTCTAATTCATGAATTTCTGCTCTGAATTATTTCTTTATATTTTTCATCAGATTTATTTTGTGATTCACTTTTAACCTCTTGAGATTGATGCTTAATTCATCTGTTTTCAGTTTTTTACATTTTCTGATAGACCCACATATAATTCTCAATTTTCTTCCTAAGCTTTTCTTTTTTTCTTTTTTTTTTTGGTACCGGAGATCAAACTCGGGTCCTTGTGCTTGCGAGGCAGGCAGTGGAACCACTGAGCTAAATCCCCGGCCCTTCCTAAGCTTTTCTTTAGCTTCTTCCCATAAATTTGTATTTTTACTATTTTAAGTCCATTATGATTTCTTCTTTCACTAATAGATTATTCTTGAGTGTATTTATTAGTTTCACATATGAATATTTTCTCATTTCCTTTGTGTTTGATTTCTTATGTACTTTAGTTGTGGAGAAAGAATATCTCCTACTTCAATCTTTGTAATTTGTTTTGAATTGCATTATGGGCTAGCAAATGATCTATGTTTGTAAATGTTACATGTGGGGGGCTATATTCTGCAGTTCTTTACTATAGTTTATTTATTTGACCAAGTTTTAAAAACATGCTCAGAATCTTTTGTATGCTGATACTTTTTAATTGAATTCTTTTTGTATTATTCTTTCTAGAATTCTAATTTATTTTTCAAATTTTGTCCTTTATTTCAAAGTTTTGTCAAAATGGTCAAGTCTTGGTTTTTATTACTTAATCCTATCATTGTTTATAGACCATTCTGGACTATTGTAATATTATACGTCTTTCTGAGTCATTTTCTGTTTCATTCGTTTCTGTTGGTTCTTGTTCGTGCTTTCTCACCTTGTGTATCTGGCCATGTTTGGTTATGTACTACACACTGTAAATGATAAATTAATATTATGTGGTTTAGGTTGATGCTATCTTCCTCCAGAGAATTACCACTCCCACCTTCTTCACACAGATAAGTGGTGGCATTACCAATGTGAATGTGAAACCACCTTAAGCCAAGGTAAATTAGGGGTTTTATCTAGCTCACCCAGCTGATATGAAGCTGCAATTAAAGTCTGTCCAAGAACCGATTTATTGCTGGTTTCCATTATCCTGGGACTGTAGCTCTTTGGGATTTGGACTTCAAATGAGTGGTGGTTTATCAAACTTTCTCCTTTGAGGGGTTGGGCTAAAAGTAAATATCTTTATTTCTTTAACATGAGAGCTATATTCCTAACATTTAAACATTTTTTTTAGCAGTACATGTTTGCCAGTATATAACTTTAATCGTGAGGAGTTGGTACATGTACATAATACATCTTAATTCTTTTTAGCAAACTTTCTCCTTTTGAACACCCTTGGCTTTGATTTTGTGGTCCTGGATCTGTAAAGGTTTCAACAACAACCTGTTTTTCTTTTCTTTTCTTTTTTTTAGATCTTCAAATACCAAAAGAGATAAAACAGCTTGGGGTGCTTTGGATTCCCTCTCTGAGTTCTATTCTGCCTGATTTTAGCCAGGTAATTCTTCGCAATCTTGTTAAGTGTTTGGAGCTTTTAAGCTGTTTTTAAAAAGTATTTTCTCCAGCATTTGTATTTGTCCTCAAAGGGACATTTCATATAAGTTATGTAATTTGCCATTACTAGAAGCTAAAGTGTGTCAGTTTTTATACTGCTTTTTTTTCTTATAAGAATTAATGTTATTCATATAAAATTCCAGCTAAATCCAATTTGGCATAAAAATTTTTTTCTCAGTATGAATACTGGTAGTTAAAAGATCATTCTTGACACATATGTTATGTATTCACTCACATATTTAAATTCTGACTCTCAGTTTACATTGCTGTTTTGATTGCTACGGAGATGAGGTAGGACGAAATGTTCTATATTTATATATAGAATTTTTTGGGCGCTGGGTCTTCTTAGTGGGAATGACTTAATTTTTATCTTGTTTCCTTTGAAATGAGCCATACCATTATTAGCAGAGAATAGAATATTTAAATGTTTCCTGGATGTTCTTCCAAACCAGCCGTAGAAAATGAAAGAATGATTCATGCTCAGAAGCACTCTGAAGCACTGGAGTGTGACTGATGTGGTTCTTCAAATGGCTGACTCCTTCTTGTCATTGCAATCTCAAATGTCACCTGTTTTAGAGAAGCCCTCCAAGTCTGAGTAATCAGTCTTTATTCCTCCTTCATAACGTGTATCAATATCTGATGATAATCTTTTATTTTTTTCTCTCAACAAAATGCAAAGTTTATGAGAGCAAAGCCCTTGTCTATCTTGTTCAACACTGTCTTACATGTCTATTTACCCAGTCCTTGAAACGTGGGAGACAGTCAGGAATTATTTGTTCTCAAATTGTGACATCATCTACTCTAAATGTCAAATTATTTAAAAAAATTATTCCATTAAACTAAAGTTAAGTTTTGTGAAATAAATGTAGTGAAAGGAGGTCAATGTGGTTGGCGTAAAGCAAGTTAGGGGGAGGCTGGGAGATGGTATCAGAGCAGGGGAGATCCAGGCCTGTGGTTTAGGTAGATTTTGGCTTCCACTCATAATGCTGTCGGGGGCATTAGAGGGTTTTAAGTGAGAAGTGACATGACCTAATTTACCATAAAACATTACTCTGACTACTGTCAAGATTGTAACAAGTTATAGGAATGTTGCAGTATGGTTTATTCTGGGCTTTCACATCTGTTCTACTGGCTGATTTGTTTACCTTGGTGCCCAGACCACTCTGTCTTAATTTCTAATTTTTCTGAGTACCTAATTTCTGACATATTCTTCAGGGTATTCTTCCAGATCCTCCTCTCAAGGCCAAGCGTTTTTTCTTATTCTTATTTTTTATTTCTTACTCTTTTCTCCTTATAGGAAGAAGGTGTTGCTTATACTTAAACTCTGTTCTTCCATAGATATTTTTAAATCAACTTGTCTTAAATCCTCAGAAAACCAAATTTGAGCTTTGATTAGAATGCATTGATTATATGGATCAATACGGAAAGAATCTACATCATTATAGTACTGAAGCATTCCAGCCTTAAAAGTTGGATAATCTGATTTATTTAGGTCTTCTTTAATACCTCTGAATAAACTTATACATACTTGACTAGAGCTCTTGAGCATCTTTTTCATGTTAAACCCTAAATTTGTTATTTTAAATGTGATATTTAAAAATAACATTCTTTCTTTCTGATGTTTACAAATGTAATTGATATTTGTGTATTAAGCTTATATTCAGATATTTTGCTAAACACTTACTATTCTAATACTTTATAAATTCCCTTGGGGTTTCTAGGTAGACAATAATATCTGCAAGTTTTGCTTAGTATTCCTCTTTCTGATCCTCTATATTTTATTTGTTTACTTTTTCTTTACTGTGATGTCTAGAACACACCAAAATGTTTAATAATAATGTTAATAGTATTAACAGTAGAATTCCTTGTCACGTTTTTAAAAGTCTTTTTTCTAGTACTGGGGTTTGAACTTGGGGGCTGACACATGCTAGACAAATACTCTTTATCAGTAAGTTATACTCCTAGTCCTTTTTGTTTTTTATTTTGAGATAGGATATCACAATGTTGCCCAGGCTGACCTCAAACTTGCAACTTTCCTCCTTCAGCCTCCTAAGTACCGGGAATTATAGGCGTGTGCCACCATGCCCAACCATGTTCTTAGATATAGAGACCATGTCTCATATTTCACATTTGAGAATGTTTGTTGTAGGGTTTTGTTAGATACCTTGATCAGAATATGAACATTTAAAAATCATTTAATTATGGACATGTTGTTCTTTAGAAAGATTGTTTCCATTTATATTACCATCCCTGTTTGAAAGGGTACATCTTGTCAATACCCACATCACATACAATCTGCTTATTTATTAAAAATTTCAAATTTCATAGGCAATGAAGAACATTTCTTTGTTAGATTTATTTCTTTTTTTTGAAACAGTATATTTTTTTAAACCAATATTTTATGTTGGTACCACTGTTACTCTTTGTAGAAGTAGGATAGATCTTTTAATTAATTAAAAGAATTTCTTATCAAGCACAATGGTACATGCCAGTAATCCAGCTACTTGAGAACCTGAGGCAGGAGAATGGCCAATTTGAAGCCAGTCTGGGCAATAGATTTTGTCTGAAAAAGAAAAATAAATAAAAGAACTTACTTTTAAAATATTTCAGATTTAGAGAAAATTTACAAAAATAATACAAAGAATTTCATATTTCTTATAGCCCTGATCCAGATTTTCTTTTTTGTTGTTGTTATTTTTTGAGACAGGGTCTCAAGATGTAGTTCAGGCTGGCCTTGAAGTCACTATGGTCTCGAATTTAAAACAATCCTCCTGCCTCAGCCTCTTGAGTGCTGGGTTTAAAGGCATGTGCTGCCATGGCCAGCTCAGATTTTCCAAATGTTAATATTTTACTGTGTTTGCTTTATCATTCTCTCACCCTTGGGCCATACACATGTATGTATTTTTTTTCTAAATAGTTTAAATTGCAAACATGATATCACATTATCTCTAAAAATTTCTGGTACTAGTTCTTAAAACCAAGATCATTTTATTTATATCCACAGTACTGTTATCAAAACCAGAAAGTTATTATAGATAAAATACTATTATCTAGTCTCTAGACATTTAAATTTTCTCGATTATCTTTTATAGGATCTAATCAGCATGTCTCTTAGTTTTTTAAAATCCGGAACAGTTACTCAACGTTTTTGACAGAATACAGGCCAGTAATTTAGTACAAGATATCTTAGCTTGGGCTTAACTGTTACTTATTGTGGTTAGAGTCAGGTTTTACATTGCTGGCAGAAATGCCACAAAAGTGATGATATGATATATCCTAGCAGTAGGCATATAATATTGGTTTGTTCCATTATTGATGATATTAACTTTGATCACTTAATTAAGGTTGTGTCTGGTAGGATTCTTCACTATGAAATTATTATTTTTCCCTTTGTAATTAATAGGTATCTTGTGGGGAGATATTTTGGGATGAGATAATGTCCTGTTTTTCATCAAACTTTGAACTACTTGTTTTAGCACATAGTAATGATACTTGCCTAAAATAATTATTACCAGAGCAATTAGCAAATGAAGATTTAAAAAAATTCCATCACTACATCTGTTATTTGGAGAACACTCTTTACCAAAGAGCTTTCCTTTCTCCCCATTTGTTTATTTATATCAGTAAAGACTTTAGCAATTTTATTTTATTCTTCTACATTATGATCTGTTAATATCCTTATTTATTTTGCTGCTCCAATATTACTCATTTGACTAGTGGAAGTCTAAATATACAGATTTTTGGGGGTCCATCTGACATACCCCCATCATTCTTTGAGCATTTGCTTACTTTCTGGCAATCCAAAAACTATGCCTAGGGTCATGTTGTGCCTTTCCTGCCTTAGCCTTGGAATCAGCCATTTCCCCAAGGAACCTGGATCCTTTTTTGGAGCACCAGCTGTGTTCATGGCTGGTGGTGTGTCATTACTTCTAGACACACAGAGGGATATATGTATGTGAGTGTGTAATCATTTATAGTATGTCACTTTTTACTGCTCTCCGTACTGAAAGCTAAACTTATATTGTTAACTTCAACTCCAAGCTTTCCCCTCCTCAGATTTGTAACTCCTTTTTATTTCTTTTTTTCTTTTGTCTTTTTTTTGGTACCAGGGCTCGAACTCAGGATGTTGCACTTGCAGGGCAGGCGGTGGAACCACTGAGCTAAATCCCCGGCCCATGTAACTCCTTTTTATGAGAATAAGAAATCAAGGCCTCATTATCCACAATGTATTTACTTGATTTGTTCATTCCTAGCATACAAATAGAGAAGTTTCATATCACTCTGCAAAAGCAGATGTCTAAGTGGTAGAGTACAATATTTGTTTATTTTTTCTTTTTGTTTTTAGTTTGAGGAAATTGGTAGTTAAAGTACTGTTTTCAAAGGTGGCCTGAGGTTAATTCTTTCTCCTTGATCTCTTTCAGTGTGATTATGATATTCATTTCAAGTGCTGTGAATTTATTCCAGCTTGGGTTCTTCTCTTATTATTGTTGTTTCTTCTTTTTTTCAGCATATGAAGCATGGCGTTTTACAAAGTGGTACTAAAAGATAGGATAGGTTATTATTAGACTACTGCAATATAAAACTAATGGCTTTTCATTGTGTTTATTCTTTCAGGGACTCATTTAATATTTCAGTATTAAAAGGAGTATGTGAAAATTCCTGCCAACCATTGAGAATTTCTTCCTTTGGACATTTTTTCTTCTACTTACTACATAACTTTCTTGGAAGTTCCTTTTTTGGTGCCATGTTTTGTGGCTTACATCAAAGGAGGAGTTTGTCTTCATGAAGATTCCTAACATTGGTAATGTGATGAATAAATTTGAGATCCTTGGGGTTGTAGGTGAAGGTAAGTTGTAATTTTTACATTTCTTGGATTTTTGAGCGATGTACAATTATACCTACTACCCCAAAATTTACCAATTCAGATTCTGTCAGTTTATCCTATATTAATTCAGATATTCATTTTAAGAGTATAAAATTAGAAATAAAATTACTCTTAAACTACTTGAGTCTTACACTCCATTTGAAAGTCAGTAATACTTTAAAACAAAAGTTTAATCAAGGATTTCTTAAGACTGGCTTTGTTTCATTATCATTAGTATCATGGTTTCTTTAGAACAGTATCACTATTTTTTTAGTTACAGTTTATTTTATATCAACTAAGTTTATTTTGAAAAACTTGAAATTTGTATATGTGAAACTTTACTTAATACATGGTCAATAAGTTAATAAATAGCTTCTATTTTATTGAGAATGATAAACCTCATTTTATAAATTTTTAGGCACAAAATTTGGTCATATTTTAACATTTCCAAAATCAGGAACTGTCATGGTTTAATTGGCAGTATATTTTCTTTCCTAATAGTACATAAAATAATTCTTATAACCAATGATATTATTGATTTGATAAAGTATGGTAATTCATTTTTCATAAGCTGACTTCTAGAAAAGTCATCATTTCTTCCTGATTGTTTTGGCTTAGTAATTTTTGCTCTTGACTTAAAGATAACTTTATGGAAATCTTGATAAATGATTTTGTTAACAGGAGATAAGTGATTGTAATGATAGTTTCTTAGCATTTATACCTTTAAAGCAAATGTTACAAAAGTTTCATATTTTCCAAATTTTGAATTTCAAAAGAAGTTTTAAAAACTTATATGAATAGCAAAGCTATTTAAGATTTTAGTATTAATTTGGTAAATCCTTTTCAAATAAATGGAAATGAAGTAGAGTCTAATCATTAGGTGCTTGTTTCAAGGTTTGACATTGAACCCATATGTAGTAGTCAGCTTTCCTGTTACTGGGACCAAATATACAACACCTGCAACTTAAAGGAAAAACTGGTTTATTTGTCTTATATTTTCAGAGGATTCATTCCATGGTCACCTGACTCCAAGGCAGAAACATCATTGTGGAAAGGCGTGGTAGAGCACAACTGCTCAGTTAATGATGGCCAGGAGGCCAAGCAGGGTAGAAGTGCCAGAGATGAAGGGGGCAGGGACAAATATAGACCCCTAGGGCACACCTCTATGGCCCATCCATGCAGAAGTGTGCTCTGTCAATCCTTGGGATAATTCCCAAGCTAATCAAGTTGACAATCCACTTTAACCTTCATACTACCTGAAAAGAATAAGTCCTCTTCCTTCACTAATCCACTCCTTTTCCATTTCTTCATTGGTATTAATTATGTAAATAAAATTCATTTTGAATCTCTTACCTAATGTTTTATAATAGCTGGCTTTTAAAATTTTATTTATCAAAAGTATTGCAATTACAGATAGGCCATAAAGCTGCTGACTGTAGAAAGTCAGTGCATAGGGTGTAGCAAGGCTGGAATTTTCCAAATTATGAGCCTAAATTTTTCTGGATCATAATCTTGATTTTCTCATATACCCATAGTTGATCATCTTCTCAGGTATTGGCTCAGATTAACCAAAATTGCCAGATTCCTATATAAATTAGAATGTTAAATTATAATCAGAATCATCATACATAGTGTAAGTTTTCTCTGTAAACCACTTCAGATATTTTTAGAAAAAAATGTATATATGAAGTAATGAAGAATATAAAAATCTATCAAGCAGACTCTACATTCCTGTAGCATAGATAGTGCATTTTCACCTCATACGCAGTTTTTCTGGATTGGATGATTAAATTGGAGGATTGGATATTTATTGGTGACCGTGGAGTTAATTTGGGTGGTTCTCATGGCTGGTTCCATCTTAACTATGATAATAACATTCATCCATGTCCACCAAAGCGAAGGAAACTTTTAGGACTGTTGGAGACACATTTCTTAATTTCATCTCCCTAAAATCCCCTTATATAGTTGCATAGAGGTTTTGCCTGTCTGCTAATACGATTGTTTTTGGTGTCTTTTCAGAACTCTGTTATCATATATTTTGATTCTGTTAATCAGACTTTTCACATTATAACTTTAACTTTAGTTTCCTGGGTACCTTGCTGTCAAGGTATGCCTCTTTGTTCTGCTCTAGGAAAGTAAGTTTATTGCCTAGATAATAAGATAACCCAAAAGGTAGGAATGAATCTTGTCAAAATACACCAAATGAAGTGGGAGTTGTGTGGCCTGTGCACTTAAACTGAGTCTTTTATGGCAAAAAGGTAGCAACTCCTACTAGTTGTTAATTGAAATGCTGAGATCTGTACAATGCATGTATGGTGCTGAGGATTGAATGAACCCAGGGCCTCAAGAATGCTAGGGAAGAGTTCTACCACTGAGCTACATGCCCAGACCTGAGCTATACTATTTTACCATGCACAAGGGATATTTCAGTATCCTAGAACAGGTTTTAAATGACTTCTAGGACACATAGCATATTTAAGTCGACTCTATGCTCAAGCTTACTCTTGGGAATTAATTAGCTTTTAAATTTTAAGTTCCCTAGAACCCTTTGAGTTAATTTTCATTTACTTACAAAGTTCTTATTATCCAATCTTGTCTCAAAAAATGTTTAAGCCTTTAAAACACATCTCAAGTGAAATTTTCTTTCTTTTCTTTTTTTTTTTTGGTACTGGGGATCGAACTCGGGTCCTTGTGCTTGTGCAGCAGGCAGCGAAACCACTGAGCTAAATCCCCGGCCCGAAATTTTCTTTAAAAAGGGAAATCTTTAAAAGGTTTATAAAAATATCTATGCTCTACTTGTATATGGCTCATTATTGTACTATCTACTGTAGAATACTGTCATTTTGTGTGTTATTATAAGCAATGTAAATGCAGCATGGCTTCAGTTTCTTAGGAGTTGTAATTTGTATACATGCCCTTGATTGTTTACTTCTTTTTTATTATAGGTGCCTATGGAGTTGTACTTAAATGCAGGCACAAGGCAAGTACATGGTTTTTACAAAGGAAATATCTATTATGTTTAAACTGTTTTCAAACTAATGCATTGCTCTGTACATGTGGGCATGTAATTAAAACCATCTGGTTATGATGATGACTCTTAATGAAGTAGAATTGTTATGTGAACCTGGAAAAAAAAGAAACACTTTTGAATAAACTTGATCGTGGTAAGTAATTATTAGCTTTTTGCAATCACCCACTAATTTTTTCAGCCTGTGTGGAGGTATAAAGCTCCCTAATGGGAAGAGAAAAAAGGTGATAGAATAGGAAGAAGGAAGCAAAGTAGTGACAGAATTATGTTCAAATATTTATGAGTAAGAGGGAGTTTAGTTCAGTATTTTTCATGTAGACCCAGAGATTAGTTGATGGATTTGAATCCAGATTTTGAAGGGTAGTGGATAGATGTTTGATAATAGATTGGGACATGGAATAATGGTGCATGATTATTATTACTAGCTGTAGCTTATTACCCTGGTACAGCCTTGAAATGAATCTTATTATAGATTATTTGACTGTGGTAATAATGACAAGTTATTCAGGAAAGCTATTTGAAGTTTCCATAGCTGTTGCTTAGTAGTGAGAGTGTTTTACTCAGAGACTAACTTTAAGATAACAGGTGTTGAAACTAACAATTTTAAGTGTTAGGTTAAATTTTTCTTATTATGATGTACCAGATCTGAGTGTTAATATTGGACCTCATGTTATTTTGTATATGATTTGCTAAGATAAAGGTTTTAAGACCAAAGTTTTAAGTTTTTTGTGATTTTTATAATGATACAATTTGTGCCTGAGATATGAGCTTAGCAACTTAACTCGAACTATTTAAACTCTTGAATCTATTCATCATCTCTCAATAGTAATATATGTCTATAAATAAAGATGATACAATTTTTATGTTTCCTTTGTCTTTCCTACTGTAGAGAATACTGCCTATCTTTTAGATTTAAGGATTCATGAAATTTAGTTTTCTTTGTTTGTTTTAGATTACAGATCTACTTTAATGCAGTGACTTCTAAAAATTAGATGTTTGAGGTTTTAAAAAATTATTTTTATGTTATTTGAAGATCTTTTTGTCAGTAAATCCTCAAAAACGATTTGAATACTATTGGTTCTTAATTAAAGATGAGGGCCAGGGATTCAGCTCAGTGGTTCCGCCACTTGCCTCGCAAGCACAAGGTCCCGAGTTTGATCCCCAGTACCAAAAAAAAAAAAAATTGATCTCTTAATTAAAGATGATTAAGACTTTAAAATAAATGTAATAAAAATAAATTTAATACCTTGAATACCTTATTAAGAAGTATCACTGCAATTTTAAATTAAACATGGAAAGCTCCCTAATAAAATGCAATTCTTTTAACAAGTTGCTTTGATTTTCAACCAATTTGTGAAACTTAAAAAATAGAATTTCTGAGTGGATATTACTTAGAGGAAATTGACAGTTTCCAAGTTAAATTTGACTTTTTTTATGAACATAAGGTCTCCTTTTATCTTGTGGCTCTGTTTGTATAGCATTACAGATGGAAGCTTCAATTCTTAATCTTGGGTTTTAGAAACCTAAGATTTCTGAGATACATATGTATGTGACATACATATATATATGATACATATACATATGTGTAATTATATATGATACAAATAGTCTATATAATACAAATAGTTCATGTTTTTTTCCCTCATTGTCATACTTCAACCTGTGACCTTTTCCTTTGTACTTTTTGAACCTTGCCTAAGCTCTCCTTCAGCCTTTTATGTAAAAATAAACTTTACTAGTTGAGTATATTGTTTTTGACTTTCCATTTACCTGTTAAAGATACAGTTGTTACATGTACCTGGTTCTCATAATAATGCACACTGTTAGTTGACAGAAAGATGAGCCCAAAAGGAAAGTGGATGAGCATAGGCATCTCTGCTCTTGGGAAACCAGCTCTGAATGTGAACCCTGATTCCTAGTGGCTGTATGGAAGGGACTTTGAGTTATAAGGATAAGTAAATCATGCTTTTCTTGTCCCCAGTATGTCTTATAGTCTCTGAAGGGATGGAAGAAGATACATAACCCACGAAGTTGCTGCAAATGAAATTGCATCTAAAATTTTTCTTCTTGCTACTCTTTGCTTGATGAGGGACTCACTGACCAACTTTCTAAGTGTTACTGCTTCCTTTTATGCATCTTATAGGATACCACTGGATGGAGAATTTGAAGCATAAATTAGTGCCTAACTCATAATAATATAAAACTCTTTTTTAGAATCTCCAGCTGTTTAGTCATTAGACTTGTTATATCTTTTTCCCAGCTAAAATCAAATCTTCAAATCTATACCCCATTATCCAAAAATAGAGAATCTAATGCTTCTGCTTAAGATTTACACTTTAGGATCAAATGAATAGATTACTATAAAATGCATATTATAGTTAAAAATATATGTAATCCCCCCTATTGTAGTCATTATATATAAAATAATGCTGATATATTTTGCATACCTCGACATTTTCATGAAATGCTTATAAAAATGTATAAATCAGGCCTTTGTGATTACTTATGCATAGGTCTGTTGATTATTTACGCATAGATTGGGTATCTTTGGAAAGGTTAGCTGTTAGCTATATGTATATATACAGAGTTAAATAATTCTTAGCATACTGTGTATTTGAGCAAGTATGAAAGCAAGTTACTGTTTTAATCTGTGTACTGTTGTAAGAATTTAGCGGTCAAGTTTATAAACAGATATGTCTTGTCTTTTGTGAATGCAATATGATGTTGGACTATTTCATACCAAAGACCATACTTCATAATTTACTGTAATAAATGCTGTCTAATTAAGAAAGAATAATATAGCTTGTACTCTTTTTTTTTTTTTGCCAGATTCTTTGTTATATATACACATTGGCATATATATGAAAACTCTTAGCAATGACTGTTAAGCTTCTATTTATGGCTCCTTATGACTATTCACATTTGGAAGATATTCTGGTTTGGACCTTTATCCTGCATATATGCATTGTTGATTTTATTTGCATGTGTACTTTGAAGTGCCTGTGAGAGGGCAAGCCGTGATCTACAGGATGCTTTTCTGAGCAGAAGCCCAAAAGGGTCATGCTCACAACAAGACAGAGAAAATCGAATGAGGTTGAAATATGAAGATTCAGGGTGGAGGATACAACTCAGTTGTAGAGCACTTGCCTAGCTTATGTGAGGCCCTGGATTTTGTCTCCCTTACTGCAAGAAAAGGAAAGGAGAAAGGAAAAAAGAGATTCAGTTAAAACTTGTGCATGGAGAAAATGGAGCACAATGTTTATTGAGCCTAGGACAGGGAAGTACTGTTTCATGTGGTTCCTTTATCGTGGCTGGGGTTGACCTATGTGAAGTTTTTGTTTGTTTTGAACTACTAGGTGACATATGCATTTGAGATAGCTAATTTATAAAGTTATGAACAATCCAGTGTTGGTGTACATCGTATGAGTAGGCAACAATAATAGCATTGACTTAAATTAGAGAAAGTAAAGAACATAGTAGAGAGCTATTACTGAATAACAAAGACTTGGTTTCTACAGAGGGATCCAAGATGATCCCAAGGATTTGAGTGGAGCAAACTGGAAAAGCGTTGGTATTGTTTATCTGACTAGAACTCTTATAAAGGGTATATAAGTTTGAGGGGAGAAGTAATGATAATAAAAAATAATGGCAGCAATGAAAAACCTGATACTCATATACTGCATATTGAGCACTCCCATATACCAGACAGTGTAGTGCATGTTTTAAGCCCCACAACAACCCTGCTCTTACCCCTATTTGACAATTAAGGAAACTGTGAGTAACAGAAGAGCTATATCACAAAGCCAAGATCATGTAGCTGATTAAGTGGTGAAACTAGGCTGTGGTCTTCTGCTGCCAGAAATTGTTAACTTGAGTGTGATATGGAGCTGTGAAATGATATGAACCTTCCAAGAGGGTGTGCACAGCAGAGTGAAGGGCCATTTAAATTGGTGAGACTGAAGAAGAGGTAGGCAGACCTCTTAGGAGAGATTTTTAACGATACTACTCACCAGTAGTGTAAGAAGCCATAAAAAGGTCCACGATAATAGGGATTGAGAGGTGAACAAATCCATTTCATTTAACAAGGCCATTTATTAATGACTTTTTTTTAGATGAAATGGTATGTTGGATGCCAGATTGGAGAGGCTAAGAAGAGGGTAGATAGAGAAAATCTGGAATGGGCCATTTTTCTCTTTGAGTGTTGAGAAATTGAGATTAAGAGTACTGGGTAGTGTAGATTTGGTTAAATATTCTGTAGTCGGGACTATCCATATTTCCTACTGTGAAGAGGCATGCTTAGCTCTTAGTACGGTCATAACTTGTTTTTAGCTATAAGGCTTCATTTTTAGCAACCATTATACATTTTGAATTAGAGATTCCTTTTCAGATTAAATTTTCTTTTTTACCAACTAAATTACAAAACTAAATGAGGATTTGGTTACTTTTTTAAAAAAATGAAACTATTTCAAGGAGATACTTGAAAAGGCAACGAACAATCACCAGTTTAACAGATTATTTATAGTATTTTGGAATATAATTTACTTTTGGCAAATGACTGCCATCTAAAACCATACAGTTTTTTTCTTCTAAAATAAAACAACAACAAAAAACCCCAAACTTTTATTTCCATTTTTATCACATTAAATAAGACAAATGTTTTTCTCTTTAGGTTTTATATGTGAATTAAAATTTTAAAACAAAAGCTAAAAAGATAAGTCAACAGTGAGAAATTGTATAGAATTAGTTGTGGTATTTATTTTCTCATTACTTTCATCCTTAAAAATAAGTTTTTGTTTTCTGTATATAAAATTTCTAATTTGAAACAAATTATACTTAGAATTTTAAATAAAGATTGTAAGAAGCTGAGAATATTTTAGTATTATTTCAATGTAATCTTTTTTTAAGGAGTTACTCTCTTTTAAATGACATTAATTTACTGCAGCCTATGGAGA